AGTGAAACATGGAGAGGACAGACAGACAAGAGAGAGACAAGACAGACCAGAAGAGATAAAAGTAGGACAAAGAAATCACGTGACTTTTTGTTTTTTGTTTTTTAGTTGGCATGCAAGAAAGGAAATGAGAAAGGCAGGAGTGATGGTGCAGGATGAGAGGAGGGAGAAGGGAGAAAAGCACCAACGAGGGGGAGAGCCGGGCCTACGATTCTTGGCTAAGGTCTAACTACGCTGCAGGTCAGCACGTGAATACGACCACCATGTTCTCGAACAGCATGTGTGGATGGCTTTTGAGAAGGACAGCCACCATGTGGCTTAGGCCTTCTGAACGGATTTAACACGCTTGAGCCATAGCCTCAGGGGCCCTTCTTCATCCTCAGTGGGACCTGGAGTTGAGGACTCCATGAGTTCCTAAACCCAGCTGTGGCCCTTTTCTCTCTCCTTCCTCTCATCGTGCCCCATACTTGGCCCCTATTCCTACTCCCCCGACCCCCGGGTCCTTCTCTTACTTCATTTTTTATTTAAAAAAATGAAACAAGGAAAACAAAAGAGAGGCCTGTTGTTTTAAGTACTTTCTGCATGAGGCATGTACTGTTTAGAAGGTCGAAGGGGCACGTACAAGCTAAGAGACGGGCAGCGATCGGCAGGGTCCTCCGGCCTGTTTTGTAGGGTGCCTCATTAACCCTGCTAGCTCTCCACTGCAGTCCGGAAGCTTGTTCCAGGATCCAAGAACTGCCAACCCACCTTTCACCCGCTAGAGGACTACCTGCGTCGTGAAATTCACAGCTGACTGTGCTTTTTGTCCCAGCTCATGAACAGGCGGGTGGCTGCTGGGAGGTGTTCCCATACAGACTCATGCTCTGAAAATTACAGCTGTGCACAGAAGCTGGAGAAACAAATGTCCAAGACAGTGGAATTGCTTGGACTGATGTACTAGTTCAGACCTCACTATGTGTAAGTGTTACAAATGGGGCAGAATAACCAGTCCACAGATACTCTTCCTAATACCTCGTAGCCCATAAAGGACCTAAAGACTTCAATAAACGGGACTATATCACAGGCCTGCTTACTGTTACTGTCCTTGCCTAAGTGGTTGTCCGTACTGACCCTGTAACCAAGACCTTCAGCTCTTTGGGAGGAGGAAAAGGATTTTATTATGCAAATAGGGCTTCACAGAGGAAGATGAAAAACCCTGTGGATTACAGGGTGACAAACCAGAGAGAAGTCTCTCATACCCACATGCGTGTGAGGCACAGAAATGAAGGACTAGCAGAGTTATAGTTGGACGTGAAGAAGCAAGAAAATGAAAGGCAGCATGAGGGGGGAAAAACAGTGAAAAGGAAAAACAAGCAGAGACAAACTGCAGAATATCTCTTTCCCCAAAGAAGGAGAATGAGCACCTTGGAAAAAAGGCAGAGCAGTCCAACACTTCCATGGAGCCATTGAAGGGTAGGGACCAGGCAGTGGTTCTTACCCTCTGCAAGCATCCAGGCCATGGAGAGGACTGAGATCAGAGGAGATCATGGTGCAGCATATGGAAATATTTAAAGAAATGGGCAGGGACCAAACATAAGAACCAGTGGAAAGTCCCTGGCTCTCACCCTTCTTTGGTGTTGACCTTGCACCAAAGCTTTCAACATAACCATAGTCATTACATGAAGTGGTCCTTGCCTCCTAGGGAGTAATATAAAAGGCACGAGCAATGAAATGATTCAATCTAACAAGTGAGTACAAGCAGATCGAGGTGGAAGAATTTGGAAGTTATCAGCATGAGGGAGAGAGGCAGGAAACAATCTGGTGGAATGTTCCATAGGAAACAGTACTGAAAATAAGGCAGCAAGATGGAGGGGAGGGCAGGGCACAGAGCAGGGTGGGCAAGGGCAGGATCAGCTAGTGGTATCTCCAGAGTAAGTAAAAATAAAAATTCCAAGAGCGATCTAAAAGGGGAGTGGCTGCTGGGCCCCTCATGCAAGGACCTGGGAGAGGCAGGGAGGAAGTCTGGGAAGGAGGCCAATGCTGAATGGCTGATGCAGTAGAAAAGTCATCTGGTCTGATGCGGGCCAGACCCAGCGCAGCCTCGCACAGCTCACGCTGACATGCACACCTGTCAGAGGCTGGCACATCATTCTACTCCAATCCAGGATCTGAGTGCAGTATGTCCTGGGGAGAACTCATAAATACTTACCTTTCTAGTAAGGCCAGAAAGATGAAACCCATGTCACAAGCTCAGGGCCCCATGGACATCTGGGCAAGCCCATCTCAGGCCATTTCACTTGGCCTTTGCACTTTATTTGCCAGAATCAGAAAAACAGGCACCAGAGTCCTTGAGGACCTACTGGATCTTCGGGGTTCACTGGAGGTCAACCTTCAACCTGCTCCCTATTGATTGCTCCCAGAAGTTTGAGCATCTGTATAAACCAAATACGCAACAGGCATGGGGACTAACTGGACCTTAGTTGTACTGGGTCTCAGATTCGATAAGACAGTTAGTTACCTGTGTGGTTGACTGGCTGCCTAGCACACAGAGATTTTAACCACTGATCATTCCCAAGATGTTACTGACCACAAACTGTAGCCTGGATGAAGAAGGACCTGAAAGCTACCCAAGCAGCTTCTTGGACTCCTTTAAGGTCAGTGACATCAATTTTATGATGTCTGTATCTAAATATTTGACGTTTTTGCTTATCTCAAGATATAGACACAAACACGAAATTGGTGTTGGCTGTGAGGCTTGTATGTTCCTCCCACTTCGTCCTCTAGGGGGAGCCGGACGATCTGTAAACCTGGTGTTGGGCTTGGACCTGAGCAAAGGGCGTTTAGGGGCTTTGGAACTTGTAGGTGTGTCTTCTCCATTTGACTTTGCACCTGGTCATGGAGAATAATGGCAATTGACGGAATGCATCCATTTTTAAACTAAAAAAAAAAAAAAAACAACCCAACAACAAAAACCAGTTTCAAATCAGTGTGCCTATTTTTTGAGGTCTAAACAGCCAGAATCTGGCTTCCTTTGATAATTTAAACAACTGGATCTAAGCTGGCTGGCAAACAACTTGAGCCTGAGGGAGTGAACACCTTCATGTATTTTGATCTCTTGAGGAAAGAAAGGAACTCGTGACCTAGTTGAGGAAGTCCTCGCCCTGACAGAACAGGGAGAAAGAAATCTGGAAGCCTGTCTCAAACCACAGGCCTGAGAGCAACTAGAACCACTGAAGGGGCTCTCATGCTCGGCAATTTAGGATCGGAACAGAAATAAAGAAGGACCTCAGCTGCTCTACTTGGGGACTTTCTGGGTCTTTGCGCGCGGGCCTGGGTAGAGTGGTGCGGAGTTCTGTGACTAGTGGGTCTGGGCTAGCCTTGGGCTCCTGGGTCCTCATGAGAAGGCACCACCTTTGGCTTCATTTACATGTTCCCCAACAGCATTTAGGCTGTTCCTTAATGAGCACCACCGACAGCTGCCTAACAGCAGAGTACAGACGGCGTCTACTCAAGGGGTTTCAAAAATGGAGGAGCCCCCAGTGCAACCAAGAACTGTGGCTATTCATTCCTCCAGGACTGCTTAGCTCCACTAACACACCGCTCGAAATGGGAGAGAATACTTCTGTGGTCTAGGTGAGGTGCGTTTGGAAAAATCAGAAGATGGAGAAGCTAAGGGTGTTGGGTCATCCTGTTTTTACCATAGGAGAATTAACCATTAAGTGTTTTTACTTCTTGCTGTTTTACATCCACTTGAAAGATATAAGTGCCACTTTTTGGAGATATAAATAGGTATTGCTTGAAATTCTATGTGAATGGGATCAGTTACAGCTTTGGAATGGTGACTAAGAACTCAAGGGCAGGGCGGATCTCCCTCATTCTGGAATTATATAAAGAGTAATAGGGCTATGAGCACTGGATCTTCTGTAAACTTGGGCCTTGTCAGGTGCTGAGAAGTTTTTTCTTCAGTAAATTACCGATTTTTTTGGCCATTGTAGTAATAAATGTCTCTCCTGAAGTGCTCTAACTGCATATTAGGGATGCTCGCTCACAGCAAGAGCTCTGGGGATCTGCCTCGTACTACCCCAGTGTTTGTTGCTTCCAGGTCAGGAAACCCGCGTTTCATCAGAGGAATGCTTTGTATGATACAGCTGGTAAAATAAGATCCTTGAAGTTAAAAAAAGGCCAAAGCCGAGCAAGTGCTAGGTGACTATGGGCATGAGGCAACATGTACTCTCAGGGCTCAGACGCTCCCACGTCACCCCCAGGTGGCTACCCCGAGCAGCAATACGTTCCCTACTGCTCTGCAGGCCCCTTCCAGAGCAGGGAATTGCCTCTTCGGGGTTGACTGCCAGTTCTCAGCACTCAAAGCCGCCTGGGACAGCAGTTGTTCGTTAAAGCGGCTAATGGAGATGATGGTCATCGCAGGGCAGGATGAAGGGAGAGGGGAAAGCAGTAAGCCGTGGGGTGTCACTGGGGGCATGAGCTTATTCTAGTGGGCGAGTGCCGAATACTACTGAATATTTCGGGGGAAATGGGCTGGGGCAGGAAATGGATGTGTGAATTAATCTGCATTCTGCTGCAGAATGACTCAAACTGTGTCGCAGCGAAGGGCTGCGACGGGCAGGCGCACCAGCCAGGAAAGTCTCTGGCTGTGTTCAGGCTCCCCCGGGCACCTCAGGCCTAGAGAGCTGGGACCCTTGTTTTAGCCTTTTCATCCAGCCCCTGAGGGTGAAGCTATTGCTTGGAAAAATCTTAGAAGAAGTTGACCTTCGCTTTGTCTCCAGCCTGCAGACACCTCCCCTTAAGCCAGAGCAGCACTGGTCCCCAGAGAGGCTGGGAGGTGCCCACAGGGGGCCTCTGAAATGGCTGAGGAGAGATGCTCGGCTCCTCTTCACACATCATCTCTTCTTGAGGGGGATGAGTGTGTGGGCAAATCTGGAGGGGCAGGCCTAAGCTCAATGACCCAGTCCTAGCAGGCATTTAGGGAATGGGCACACAAAGAAAGAAGAAAGAGCTCTCCATACCTTCATCTCCTCCTCCATCTCTGACATTTTCCGCTCCAAGGCTCGCCTCTCCTGTTTAGAAACAATGAGACTGTTTAACATCAACTGGGGTTAGAAGGGAGTCAAAATGCTGCCTCCCAGGGGCCACGTGATCAGCCGCGTCACATCTCAGGCAAACCTCATGCAGGAGACTAAGAGACTGATCTGTGGGATGAAACTACTTCGTTGATAGAAATCACGTGACTTAAATCTCCATCAGGATGTTCGAAGAGAAGCAAATGGTAGGACCAGGGTCCTCTGAATATTCTGATTTTACGGAATTTCTCAAATGACTGCCAGTGACCAGGGCCCTTGTTTTCTATTAATAAAAGGCATCCTTATCTTCAATAATGCTCCCCTCAAATTCCTAAGGAGCTGCTTCTACCATGATGGGGAGCAGATGTTGAGTGGCGAAGCAGCCATCATTATCTGGGAAGAAATAGCACCCTTTCCCCTAGCCCATCTCTCTCCCAGCAACCCACTCCTGATTTAGCCTGCACTCTGAAGATTCCTTGATTAGATGAGATGCCAGTGAGGTTTTGTTATAGGCCAAGGAAATAGAATATAAAACTTTGATGTTTTCCAAATTAAACAGGAGGGATGAGAACATATTATACTCTTAGGGTCAAATCACAGCTAGGTTCATCAATAAATCTGAGTTTTCCCAATCCAAGAATGTCAAATCCCAGAAAAATATTCTGAATGCAGTTGGGAGGTCAGCAATTGAACTGGAATGTCCCCTCCCCACCCCCAGTCAGAGTGAGTGCAAGATTCTGCTGGCTCATAGAACAAGTCAGAAGACCTAAATCAATGGCACAGGGTCCTGCTGAAAGCTTCCTTTCTGTTCAAGGTGACAGGAAGGGAAAAGAGACTTTGGTCCGGATGTGTACATGTGTGCTGATTTACAGTAAACCAAAATATACTGTAGGGGTGTGTGTGTGTGTGTGTGTGTGTGTGTGTGTGTGTGCGCAGTTCTGCCTATAGGCCAAACCAGTGCATGGGATGACCTTCCAAGGACCCACCCCAGACCCTAAGACTGGACTAAGTGAAAAGCACTAACCATCTAAAGACGCCAAAAGGACTAGCAATCAACTGCTGTCCAGAGTCACACAAAAAGAATTTATTATCAAGCTAGGAATGGAATGTGGCAGAACTCCCGCCTTCTTAAGACGAACTTTTTCCATTGGCCTGAACAACAAAGTCAGAGAAACTCAGATGAAACAGAGCGGGGGGGAGAAACACACACATACCCTTTTCTCCATCTCCAGCATTGATGATCGGTCAGAGGTCTTCTCTTGTTTCTGCTAGTGCAAATTGAAGACAAACAGTGGTCACTTCGGTTGTCTCAGGGTCACTAGGAAGCCCAGTCTGGTTCAGCTTCACCGTGAGACACCCAGAAATAGATGTCAGGGCTTGGGCTCTCACTGGGGCAGAAAACCCTAGTTAACAGATTCCGATAGATCTCTAGGTCTGACATTATTGCCTTTCTGAAGTTTGCAGGATTCCCACGAGGGAGCAGAGGTGGTAGTAATGCTTCTTAAGATTTAGCACAGTCCCAAGTGCAAAGACATCCCCCAACACAGACACACAAACATTTGTTAGGTCTTCAACGCCAACTGTCTCCTTATACCTCACCGCCCCTCTCTTCTCCTGGTCTGTGAGTAATCTCACGACTCAGATGAAATGAAAAGTGGCTTTTCTTCTTTGAAAGCTAGAGGCTCATGAACTTGAGGGTCCAAGTCCCATGGCACTCTCCTAAGCAATCCCTTTGCACTTGTTGTCTTTCTGCTTTGGGCACTGACGCTGTTTCTCTTTTAAAGCAGTGGCGTGCACGCGTGGGCGGGCTTCCCGGGTTTCTCGGAGCCCATTCATGCGATCAGCCCTGCTTTGAACTGAACAGCTCCACTTTTATCTCTTTTGTATACTGAGCTTCCAGGTGAGGTGAGATTTTACCTGAACAAAAGACTGGAACTTAGAACATCTTTGATTTTTGCTATAAATGTCACAGAAGGGCCAAGAAGATTTAGCCACCGTAGCTAAAAAGTAGAATAACTTCAGGTAGTGACTCTTAAACAGGGACTGGAAATGAACCTTAAGTTCCTTTTGGCCTTAGCACTATAAAATTTCTTATATTTTTAATAGACTATATTTAATAAATACAGGGTGATTATTTTTATTTTGCCTAGTACCATGTGCAAGCAACACTTTAAAAATACAGAAAGTACACTGGTCTTTTGGCAGAGGTTTCTTTTTTCAGAATGTTAAGGGATAGCTAGAGCTAACAGTAAAACTCTGATTTCTGGCTCCTGTCCTAGGCTTTCACCTTCTGTTCTGAAGGTCAGGGCCATCTGCCTTTCCACTGAATCTACTAGAAGTGGAAGGAAAGGAAAAAAGGCAGAAGTAGATCCGGGCGCTGGTTTGTATCCTCGTCCGACTCCCTTCCCTGAGCCTGAGAAGCACAGAAGCTGTCACGATTTCAGTATTTTCATTTAGTCCCCTTCTACAGAGTGACCTTAACTAGTTCACTTCTACAAAGAACTTGTTTTGTTTTGCTTTTAAAATCTTAACCCCGTTAGAGTTAGGGCAGACCTTTCATGTAAAACGTCACATGTGTCCATGTGGTGAGTGTCTCCCTACGACGTGTGGGGCTGACAGGCTCTCCTCCTGTCCTGCCAGACACTGCATTTGTAGTAAACAGCAGAGGACTGGTTTGTAGCACCACTGTTTCTTCTGAATTTCCATCATGTGTATTTGGCAAAACTCAGTATATTCTGACACACCCAGCAGAGCAGTTGGCTAGAAAGTAAGCCCTTTTCCCCGGTGACTGGAAGGGCTGATTTTATTTTCAGTGTCCCCTGTGCGAGTCAATGTCACCACTTGTTAGCCTGCTCACTGCTCCGGAGCCGGAGGAAAAGCCAAGAACCCCTAAAGGTCAAGAAATGTGCTTCTGGAAAGAGTGGGGAGCAGGTGACATTGGGTCCTCCCATGGCTCACGTGACCACCACCCCCCATTTCCTGTAAAATACCCCTGGTCATTCCTGACGGGAAGCAGCAGCAGGTCTGTATTAATTAATCGTTGTCAGTTCGTGGCACGACTCAGAAGAAAAGTTAGCCTTCGGAATCTTCCGCGTGTGTGCTGTGAATGAGATGTTCTGCCTGCCTCAGGCATGCTGGGGTCAGCGGAGCCCTCAAGGTTCATTTAGTTCCATCCCCCTGCTGCGCGTGCGCGCGTGCGTGTGTGTGTGTGTGTGTGTGTGTGTTTTCTTCTGGATTGAGACCCACTTTTCTTGTCCCACTGAATCACTCTTGTCCCACTGAATCACTACAGTAGGTCTTACAAACCCCAGCCGAAGAACCATGCTCAGCTACTCCAACCAGGCGGAGGGGGGCCTCTTTCAAAGGACGGGCAGTTCACAGGCCAGGCCACCCACTGGGCGCCTGGCCGGGCCCCTCTCCGGAGAGCGCCCGTATTCCAGCTGTCTGCAGTTAAGTCGTGCGGTCTCCCAGCGCTGGCTCACCCCATTCCAGAGGGGATGCCGTAAGATGATCCGAGGTGCCTGACCACCCCTGCCCCACCGAGCCCTGAGTATTCAGTACCGTACACTCCTAGTGTTTTAGGCTGTGCTTTTTCCATTGTATCATGCAGCCAGAGCAACTAGCCGTCTCTGGTTTTCATTTATGGCTTCCCAGTAAAGAGCCATTTTTACCTCCGTTCGGCTTTCAAAATTCTTAGTCACTGGGTATTCCAGGAGGGCGATAACTCCATAGGTTTCCTGTCAACTCAGCAATCACCCAAGACGGCACTTGCTGCAGTGTTTGTCTCACTGGTGATGAGTTTATTGCCTCTAGTTCCCTCTAAACCGTTGCCGAATTAAATCAGGCCTGGCAGTAAAAGGGTTTATCTGGTCTGTTTGCCGCTAACATTCCTTATTCCTAGGTTGAACAACAGTGGTGGCTTGAGGAGGTAACATATGCTGTAGGACAGAATCTTTGCTTTGGGATCTGGTTATACATTCTAACAAGACATTGATTTCTTTTTTAAAGAGAGAGACAGAGAGCACGAGAGAGCATGAGGAAGGGGGAGAGGCCAATGGAGATGGAGAGAGAGAATCCTAAGCAGGCTCCATGCTCAGCAAGGAGCAACTCAGGGCTCTATCTTACGACCCTGAGATCATGATCTGAGCTGAAACTGAGTCAGATGCTTATCTGACTGAGCCACCCAGGTGCTCCTGTCCTTAATTTCTTGTACGACCCATGCTAACCATTATTTCTCTAGGCCTAATTTGCTGCATCTCTACATTGGGTTCAATGGTGTCTTGCTTATCCCTCTCTAGCAGCTGACTGCAGATAAACTGAACTGAAACATGATGATCACGACAGGAGACACTGTTAGGCACTAATCTTGTGATACTGGTTAATACCCTTCTACTAAGAAATAAGTAGATTATCCATAGTATTAATTATTAGCACTCAGGCGATTAGGAATTGTTCACTGAATGATCAGTTTTCCGCTTTAAGTTAAATGCCGATTGAACCCTGAAATCAGATGAGAATCTCCACTTCTGTCCTCCTGTCTCTGGGGAGGGCCAGTCTTCATTCCCTGTCACTTCCCCTCTCTCATAGCCTTAGGTTACTTTGCCTCCTCGCACTCACCCTGCCACCCAGCCTTTTTCCTCTTCTCCCTTACCTGGGCCATCTTCTCAAGCTTGGACTTTATATCTGCTAGCTCTAGCTGGGCCTCCTGAAGTTTTGTTTTCAGTTTTTGGTTTTCGGTCAGGGCACTCTCGTAGAGCTGAAGGGAGGGAAAAAGAATCAGGTCACCTACTAGGCAGGGCTCCCAGGATTAGCACTCCCACAGTTTCAACCTATGAGAATCCCCGCTGCCCCAGACCATCATTGTGGGGCAGATGGAGAAGATGGAGGAAGTCTAGGAAACAAATTATATTCAGCCAATTGGTTTCTTGCCTCTCAGTATTGGTGAAGTCCCAGGTGCTGAACACAAACGAATAGAATGGTGCTCCAACTTCAAAAATGGTAATCTCCGGGGGAAAAAATAGTCACTGTGGTTCCCCGTACAAAGAGAACTTTTTTTTTTTAGAGCCGGTCTAGTGTATATATTAATTTTAGTCAAGTTCTGCTTAACACATTAACAAAACAAACATTTCGTTAACAAAAACGGTTTTTCCCCCTGGCATCTCAAGCACTTGAAAGGGAAGGTTTTCAAGCTGACCCCTGGAGCTAGGTCCTCTTCTGCAAGAACCAAAGGCAATGAACTGTAAAGTGTTTTAAACCCCCCCCAAACCAGATTATCATTTACCATCACCAAGAAGTATTTGGTTGACATTCACAGGACTTCATGAAAAGCACGTTTGTTAATATTATAAGTCTTACCAAATGACTCTCCACGGCTCAGACACACGAAAATCTACTTTTATTTTCCCTTTCTACAACTGTCAATCTTTACTTTCTCCTACACCTCTAAATACCAGATTCAAGGCATAGATTTACTGCACTAAAAACAATATATGGAATGGTCTGTATTTAGCTAGAAGAGAGATGGAGCAAACCAAGAAACCCGAAAGGAATTAGTTGCTTGGATTTATCACGGAAGCACCTTTTCTTCTGGTTCATGGGAACTACACTCATTTTTCTCCACTGGGGAAAAGGCTGAGAGCTCGACGTGTTGTAACCCAACAACAGGAAATTGAAAAGGGAGCCTACTTTTTTATAATCTCTGTTGCTGTCCTCCTCCACGCGGCTGGTCAGGCTGGCGAGGCGGGCCTCCCGGGCCTCGCGGCGGGCTCTCGCTGAGGCCCGGTCACCATAAGAATCGCTGCTTGTAGGGTTACTACCTCCTGATTCCAACCTGTCGGAGATACGTTAAAGGTAAACATTGGTTTTCAAGAATGAAGAGATCGGGGAGGGTAATGCTTCAGGGGAGTTGCGCCTTTTCTAAGAAGCGCTTGAGAGCCTTGGCCAGAAACAAGGCACATTCCTTCCTCAAATCTCCTCCGCCAGCATTCTCGGACCTCGGGGCTAAGCCGCGCCAGCTTGGAGGAGGCGGTTGTCTTTTGCCAAGAATGGAGCTTACTTGAAAAATTGGCGATTTGGACTCATGTGCCGACTTAAATCTTAGAGCTTTTCAAATTAATTTGGGGTTGAACAGCTTTCCTCAAAGAGTGTGCTTTTAAAAAGCATAAGTTTTTTGGATCTCAGTGCTCTTAGACAATGATTCCAACGAACTGTCAATGAATCAGAAACATATGGACTTGAGAGTTCTGAACCGGAAGGGGGCCTGGCAGGGATGATAAGGAGGACATGGTGCGTATGTTTTTTAGGTGCACTGCAGGTCTGTTGGAATCTCAAACATTTCAGGGTACCACCACAGCTATTTTTCTACCCTCTGTTCTCAGGTCCACATTGTGGACTGTGATGAGGGTTTCTACGTCTTCCAGCAGTTGAGCTCTGAGAGTTGACGGGGGCCTCATTTCCAGGAGTGGAAGGGTCTCTCAGCTGATTATCTGTTTAAGTGTACAACGATTATCCTGATTCTTAACCGTGGTTTACATTTTTCTCAGACTTTGCTCTTTCCAAATGAAAATGTGGCCCACGAGCCTGCTACGTACAGACCAGCCCTGCAGAGCTCTCCCTCCCCAAACGGGGATGGTTTGCAGAGTTACAGCTGTGGAACTTCCATCTGAAGGCTCTGTCCTGCAATAGCTATTGCCAAAGCTGGGGGTCGGGGAGCTGGACTAAGTGTCAGAAGTAGTAAAGGGACAACAGGGAGGACACAGAGAGGGAGAGGCAAAGCTCCTAATGACATTAATGGCCACTCTGTCTTACAGAGACGCTAAGTCCTACAACGTTCTTCGAAACGTTCTTTTTCTTCTTACACTTCTTTTTTTTTTAAAAATTTGTAAATAGAAACCTCTTTACTGACTTCTCTGATTTCGAAAGCAATATATGCTTGAAGAAAAATGTAAGTAACACCAGTGTCTAAAACAGAAAGTGAAAGTCATTCCATAATCCTGCCCAAGAATGAACCCACTATTAACAGTTTATTTCATATCCTTGCAATAAGTTAAACACATAGATATGTTAAAATGTACATACTTCTATAAATAAAACCAGATAATACATACTATTATCTAACTCTCCTCCTTCTCCCTCCACTTGGAGGCATCTCACCACGTAAGTAAACAGATCTGCCTCATTAAAAAAAAAAAATGATGCAGAGTCTTCCACCATGTGGTTGTATGGCAACTGAATCTTCTAGTGACAGACAATGATATTATTTATAACTTTTTAGCTATTAGAAATGATGCTACAGTGAGAAGACTTGTCTATAAATTTTAGTGCATTTGTCCAATCTTAGAAGTGGAACCCTCTGGTCAAGGGGCAAGTCTATTTTAAATTTTGATATACGTATTGTCATACAGTCCTTTAGAGAGTTTAATCCAATAAGAGAAAAACTCTCATTAAATTAAATATTTGTAGGTCACTGAGAAGGTTGAGTATCTTTGGTTATTCATCTTCATTTCTGAATTGTCTATTCAAAGCTTTTGTTAATCTTTTGCTTGTTACACTGTGGGAGCATTCTATAGAGCAAGGCTTTTAAGACGAACGTAAGGTACAAATATTTTTTCCTACTTTATTTTTTGTCTCTGTTTATGGTGTCTATTACTAGCAGAGATTTTACATTTTATATAACTAAATTGGACAATTTTTACCTTTATGGTACCATGCCTGGGAGAGTCTTTCCTATATAAAGATTATAAATATTCTCTTCTACTGCTTTTGTAGTAAAATAATTTTCTCTTAAAAACTGTAATCCATCTGGAATCTGGTTTTGTTTTGTTTTTTTGGTATGGCTTCAGGGAAGGATCTGTCTTCCCAAATAGTTGGTTGTGCCAATGATCACTTACCGAATAACTCTTCCCCAACAGAACTGAGACATCATCACCTTATACACACGTGACTTTTGGGGGACTATCTACTGTGTTCCACTGATATCTTTGTTTATTCCTGAACTAATACCTCACTCTTTTAACCATTAGTTTTGTAACATATTTTGAGGTCTATAGGGAAGTCTCTTTTCATAAATGGTTATTATAATGTAACAGAATTTAAAAAAAATTAACTATAGCAAAATACCATTCTCCACCGGTTTTGCAAAGCTAATTTTCTGCTGGGTTAGATGTAAATTATTTATCTTCAGCCTGCGCCTGGTGAGAGGGTAAGCAGAGGAAGAATCCACGCAAGTTTACACATTTTGAAATATATATTAAGGTAGGATAAGCTCAATTATCAAATAAATTATAAGACTCATTTGTTTTATGTTATCCCATAACTACATTTCCCCTCAATCTCTTCTTAGTTTCTCTATCAGAGGAAAAGTGGAAAGGGAGAGGTTCATACTTTTGGCTCCACAGTCTTTATATTTTTTTAATTTGTTCTTCAGGAAGATCAGTTTTGTATCCTCAGATGCTAGGTGAAAAATTAGGATCATTCCCCAAACTCTGATCTGTTTCCTTAATTTTTCAGCACTTGCAACTCTGGTCTTCAGCTCATTCAATAAATTATTACAGAGCACCATCTAGGTACAAGGAATTGTGTTAGGTTCATTATTAAGTGACAGTATCTAAACGCAATCACAATTCAGGCACGTACCCTGCAACAAAGTCTTCCCTGAACCACCAGATTAGGCTAATGGCCTTTTCTCTCTGCTCATAATACCTGTCCATACTACTATCTTGGCCCTTACTGAAGGTGAGGATAGGGTTTTATTCAAGTTGTTTCTGTAGCACAGTGCCTGGTAGGTGCTGTAGGAAAACTGATGTGGTGGAAGTACATAAACCGAATTGGAAGGAGGAGACTCTGAAGGCAGGAGGTGAGTTGAAAAGCTGCGGCATTAACTTGGGCAGGAAATAACAGAAGTCTGAACTACCGTGGTGGCTGAGGAAATGGAAGGAAAGGATGTGAGAAATATGAGCGTACGATATAAAGCTAAGTTCAATTAGACATGCACTTCTCACAAGTATTAAGCATGCATATAAAACAGGGAAAGGTCTTACCTAGAAAGTCTTTCATGCTAGAGAAAGGAAGAGACAAAACAAAAAACCAGCATTAGCAAGGGACTGATAATTATTATTTCCATTTACAAATGCACTTTTCAAATCAGATGTCTCAACTTCACAGTTGGAGGTACGGGTGCAATTTAAGAAGAGCAATTCAACGGACAGCACAGAAGGCTACTTAGCCAGTCTTCCATGACTCAGTAGATTTGAGACTTTGGGGAAAGCATCTTTTCAAACTGGAAGTCAGCAAACTGTAAAATGATCAAAAACTGCACCCCCACTCTTATCCGCGCCACCCAACAAACCATCCTTGTGTTCTAGGAGGGACTGATTTTCTGTGTGGCATTTAGCCTCTCTGGATCTCAATGTCCATTCTATTAACTTCCTTTGGTTCACAAACCCCCAGCCCTGCCCTGAGTACTGCAATCTACAAATATTAAAACAGAGGACAGTTCCTGGCTTTACCCTAGACCCCTAGTGAAGGGTGAGTAAGAGGGTGGGGGGAACAGGAATCCTAGTCCCTAGGAGGGTGGTTAGAAAATGAAAAGAATAAGAAAGTACTTTGAGGTCCCAGCAGAAAGGAGTTTTGTAGATGCACACTGTAAGCTTGGTTATCTACCGATGGTCTATCTATGGTTGTAAACAAACAATAATTACGTTGATATTTTACATTTTTAAAAATCATAGATGACCATTACCCTCTTAGTTCCACTTTTTTTTTTTTTTTTTTTTTTTTAAGAACTCAGGCAAACAGAAACTCAGTTGATTTCAATGTATTTACTTATTTTCTCTTTGGAGATACTGAAGAACAATAAAGTCCTCAATGACACAGAAGAGGAGGAGGAAGGGAAACAAGGGCCCAATAATCTACAAAATGAATAATAAATTCTTTGACTACTGAGGGCTCGCTCAATGATACTGCTTTGTTGTAGAAGCATTACACAGTCCCTGGAAGCCACTGGTCTGCCAACCAACAGAGCATGGCAGTACAATACAGAACCACCCCCTAAAGCGGTCCAGAAGTGTTTGCTGAAAGGAATTCTCTCTCTAAATCATGAGTATATTCATAAGAATTCTTTTGTGTACTTTCAAAATGCACATATCCCAACGTCAATCCTAGAGACCCTCTTTCCCAAGGTCTAGAGTAGTGCCTTCTGACATGTATTTCTTTATAAAGTCCCCCAGGTGATTCTGTTTTACAGCCCTGGCCAAGCACCACTGGACTAAACAAAGGCTTTCAACATGCGGATGTGGACCGCTGGAGATGGGGAAGCCAGTAAGAAAAGTATATGGTGCATCTTTAGCCTTCTCAGACGCCTGGAGTATCCTAAGCTTTCAAATCTGGAATTGAGGAATTTCCGTCTCACATTTATAACTTATCTTCAGTGAGAACCATATGCCTAGCCTACACTATCAATGACTACCCTATCAACATTAACTAGGGTTGTTTCTCTCTCTCTCTTTTTTAAGATTTTACTTATTTGACAGAGAGAGAGAGAGATCACAAGTAGGCAGAGAGGCAAGTAGAAGGAGGGGGAAGCAGACTCCCTGCTGAGCAGAGAGCCCAATGTGGGGCTCGATCCCAGGACCCTGAGATCACTGACCTGAGCCAAAGGCAGAAGCTTAACCAACCGAGCCACCCAGGCGCCCCTAGGGTTGTTTCTCTTACTTAAATCCTATTTTTAAACAAAGACACTAAATTTTAATCACCTCTTTAGAATTTAATTAACATATAAACACGTTTCAAGTCTACTCAAGTAAAACTGAGATGCTACACTGTAGGCAATGCCCACTCACCAGCTTAGTGATAAGGTCTAGCCTTTAAGGCATCTGGGTGAATTCAAATTCATATCCCAGGAGGACTGTAAACTGACATGCCAAAGATTCATGAATTAAGAATCAACTCCATACCAGCAAATGGTAAGGGTCTACTGAATTTAAGAACCCACTGCACGCAAAGCCCTGCAGAAGAGGTCCCAAGGAAGAATGCCCAGAATAGGCTGCATTAGTCAGGAGAGCACCATGAACAGAATCAACAATCGTCTGAAGCGATGGGAGGAACCCAGGTGAGCAAGTGCGCTCACCAGTGGGCTCCAACCACAAAGGCTTCCTGAAACTCATGAATTATGAGAAGAGTAGGTTAGAGAAATACAAAGATATACATACATACATTTAAAAAAGATATGTTGTTGGGGTGGGGGGTCCTTAATGCAGTGATCCATGCATTTATTCCCAGTGACACCTTCAGTGCCAGAACATGACAGGTGCTTGGTAAAGACTCCCTGAACTAAACTGTTAATGTTTCTGGGAAAGAGTGGGATGTCCTTGGCTGGACCTCAGCTCTAATTGTTGCTTTGACATCTTTTAGCTATGGGACCTTGTGCAAGTTACCAGCTACTCTTGTGGTAAAAATTAAATGTGATAGTTACGAGGAAGTACATTCTTAAAATGTCGGCTTCCTCTCCTGCCCTGACCCCCCACCCCCATTCCCTTTCTGGTTGTAGAAATACTATACTGGCTGCTGATGTCCGTTAGAGCAGTAAGTTAGCTTAGGACCTTTGATTCAGGGAACTGAGCTCACAGACAACCAAATGAAACAACAATTTAACAATTCAGGAGACCACTTACTTTCTCTTGCTGCTTCTAGGCAGAGCTGCCTTTTTCAAATTTCATTATCCATATGAGATAATCATTCTTCCCCCACCTACCCCCTTGGGAGAACCATTCTTGTCAGTCTCTCCAAGACAGACCTGCCACACCATGTCTTAGGTATGGAAAAGGACCCATGTATAATCAAACTGCTCTGCCTTGTGCCTTCTTTTGCTTCCTCCTAACTGAAACAGAAGCTTACCTTGCATGGTATATGCTGACTGAGACCTCATTCATTTACTGACAGATCATGTTTATCTATGGACTTTGTTATTCCTAAAATGTGGGCCCTCACTTGAAAATGCTTTAGTTTCCTCCTTGTAAACATCTAATTTGTTGGGTAAGATTTTAGCTACATCTTCAGCTTTAAGTCCAGCAGGCCCCATAGACTCTGGCAGTTCCCTCTAGAGTGAAGAAACAGTGTTTCTTTTCACGAAGACAAGGAAATTAGGATTTTACCAGGTATCAGTTTTAGCTATTACATAGACATCGAAGCATGCTAATCATTTCCACTGACTTATTCCTTATAAGAATGACACATAATTAACCTTTCTCATTTAGGATGGTCTGGAAACACTATGAAGCTTTTTATGTCCTGTCGTCACCCCCAAGAAAGTTCTCAGACAGATATGTGACTGCACAGTATGACTGGATATACCGTCTGGCCACCACTGAGGAGGCTGATATAAAATATTAACACTTAAAAACAAGAAATAGGTTAGAGCTACCACGCAGCAATCAGGTTCCTGGATGGGAAAAGGCAGATTCCACTGGGTTTTCGAGAGGCCTAAATGAATTTCTCCACAGAGGACAGCATGCCGAGAAAGGTACTGCTAAGGGTGCTCAAGCCTGTGCCTGCTGTACCAGTTCTGTCCCTCCAGGCACACTTGTAGGAGAGAGCGCCCACAGACAGCCCCGTAGAAGCTGATGAAGGACACTGATTTCCACCTGCTGGGAGCAACTGAAAGCAAGTATCACAGTCTGCTGTTTATAATTTTTTTTTTTTAAAGATTTTATTTATTTATTTGACAGAGAGATCACAAGCAGGCAGAGAGGCAGGCAGAGAGAGAGGAGGAAGCAGGCTCCCCGAGAGAGCAGAGAGCCCGATGCAGGGCTCGATCCCAGGACTCTGAGATCATGACCTGAGCCGAAGGCAGCGGCTTAACCCACTGAGCCACCCAGGCGCCCCTGCTGTTTATAATTTTTTAAGGCATGTTAAGATTTGCGTTATCAATCGATTTTGGGGTGAACTTTAATAAAAAAAAAAAAGTCTAGGTGATGAGTGATCCAGTAGACATGAGGGAAGATGATGTCCCTAGATCCAGATACTCAAGAAAGCAGGACTTCCAGTTAATCCTTGCTCTCTCCTCACTACTTCGGACATTCCTCCCCCTCCTCCAGCTTTCACCAGACCTTTGGAGCTATCTGGACTCCTTGGTTGGTTTTTTTTTGGTTTATTTTTTATTATTTATTATTTTTTTTATTATAGCTTTCAAGGGCTACCTTAGGTATGTCCTGGGAAGGCCAACCCAACCAATTAGAGGAGAGCATATCAACCTTATGAACTGAGATGTGGATACAATAGAGGCAGCATATTAGCATAACACAGTATCATTCCAAAGAAAGAAGACAACTGGGATTTCTAAAGGTGATGGTATTCTCACTATAACAGCAATTAGCTTAAGAGGAGTGCTCCTATAGGCTGAAAGTACACAGGACATGGGGCATGTGGGAGGCTCAGTTAAGCAGCCCACTCTTGATCTCAGGGTTGTGAGGTGAACCCCTGTGCTGGGCTCCACACTGGGTATGGAGCCTGCTTAAAATTCTCTCTCTCTCCTTTCCCCCGTGCCATGCTCCCCCCTTCCCTCTCTAAAAACAACAACAACAAAAAAAAAAACCACACAGGACTTAGGGTACAATTTCCCAGCTTCTAATAAAAACCTTTTCAGATCATACGTCCTCATTTTTTCATTGCTGGAGTATCTCTAGAAACTATTATTTTGTTTGGCTTCTTGATATTCTAGATAATCTGGTGTTTGATGAAAAAACACTGGTTAGGGGCGCCTGGGTGGCTCAGTGGGTTAAAGCCTCTGCCTTCAGCTCAGGTCATGATCCCAGGGTCCTGGGATTGAGTCCCTCATCGGGTTCTCTGCCCAGCAGGGAGCCTGCTTCCTCCTCTCTCTCTCTCTCTCTCTCTGTCTGCCTCTCTGCCTACTTGTGATCTCTGTCTGTCAAATAAATAAATAAAATCTTAAAAAAAAAAAAAACACTGGTTAGATTTAGGGAGAGAAAAGTTTGGGTTTCTTGGTTCTTGGGTAAAAGGAGCAGAGCTGCTGAACTGGTGAAGACTTCACTTCAATCTTCC